CAGACAATGGCGTTTTCCTATCCAATAGTCATTCTGGTCTCATTTTTCTTCCCTGCTAACATAACCTTGCAAACCCTGGTGGCGTAGTGGTTAAATGCTACGGCTGCTAACCAAAAGGTCAGCAGTTCAGATCCACCAGGCACTCCTTGGAAACCATATGGGGCAGTTCTACTCTGTCCTATAGGGTTGCTATGAGTCGGGAATCGACTCGATGGCAACAGGTTAATGTAGCCTTTGATCTCAAGACACCCCTTAATCTCAGGGAGGATAGGGTAAAGACTCTAGTTCAGTCGCAGAAAATAATCCATGATGAATTTAAAGTATTCTCTATTTTTGGTCAGTAATTATCTTAAGGGCGGGCATATGACCGGACTCTAGCCGATGAGATGTTTGTAGAAGTTGGCTTGAGGACAGTGAAACATCCCTATGTGAATAAAACTCATTGCCATCCAGTCGATTCCGACTCATAACGACCCTGTAAGACAAGAGTAGAACTGCCCCATAGAGTTTCCAAGGAGCGCCTGGTGGATTCAAACTGCTGACCCTTAGAAGACTGAACTTAGCACAGAAAAACACTTTTCCCTCCTAAATCGACCTGCCTTCATATAGATGGAAGAGCGGTAGTTGCAGTAGCCATTTTTGTGACCCTAAGGGAAAAAAAAAGAATCAAAGAGATTTTAATCCTGAGATCACTGAGCTGATGAACTAACACCACCAACGTCCTACTCCTAAACTCCATTATGTGAGAAAAATTAATCACTATTTGTTTAAGCGACTGCATTAGATTTCCTGATAAATGCAGCAAAATAGATTTCTAACAGATTCTACAGCATGGGTATGCTCTTACTACGATAAGTACATCTGGAGTGAGGGAAATAAGGTGGGAAACTTGCTGGTCTATTCCTCATTTCAACTGAATGGACTGGGTCTCTGCTGTATTAATGTTGACTGGTGGGATCAGGGCACAAACTGAGGTTTTTACGACCTCCTATTTGGAGATCTTTGTATGTGTTCAAACAAAAAGTCAAGAACCTGAGGATGCAGCTGACTGTATGATCAAAATTGTGCCATGTGGGTGATAATTAAGCAAAGTGATGCTTTTTATAAAATAAATGCATGAGGGTTTTCTTTCTGATTCCTCCTACCTGAGAAGCTTACTTATTTATCCATAACACTAATGTGTAAAAGAGCTATGTGGTAAAAGATAATATTTTTTTGAATATACAATCAGGCTATAATTAACCAGAGATGACAATTATAAATAACACTGTCTCCCAGAGTTTCCAAGAAACCTGACATACACAGTTTCTTGGGTATGTTGAAACACTTCCAAAAAAGTAAAGAAATGAGAAATCTTTTAGAAGTCTTCAATTAAAATGTGTTCCAGTAAAAATGACTTTCATTATATGTTTTGGTACATATCACTTAAAAACATTGTTTCTTAACTTCACACCTCTAATTGTTTTCACTGTCCAATTAGTTTTTCAGAATTAAGACCTTCTACTTGGGACAGCCATGTTGGCTATTTGAAATGTGAAACAAAGTTAAGGTGTATAAGATTTGTGTACCCAAGAAATCAAGCATCTCCTCCTCAGGATTCCAGTTATATGGATCTCAGGCAATGATACCACCTCGTAGAGTGATGTAAATCACCAACCATGTGAGGGCTGCATTTCTTTCTTTCCCCACTTCCTCTCTCCCAGCTCCTTTCCATCTTTCTTGCCCTCCCTCCTTATATTTCATGTACTTTGGGTTTAGAGACAGGAGTACTGTTTTAGAGGAAAAAAATGTCCTTTTGGGATTCAAATTATACGAGAAGATGACAGTGTAAAATATAAGATTAATTTATCATATATTCTGCTTATGTCTTTCATCAAGAACTATGAAGCAAAATTTCAAAAAAAAAGTACTGGTCTACTTATCCGGCCATGGATAAATTTGGGTGATTATAAAAATCTATTACAAAGGTAAGCATTTGGAAAATAATGATACAGTATACATAGTGATGTTCCTTTATGTGTAAAAACAAGTTTTTGTTAAGGGGAAGATCTACCTTTGTCAACTCAGGTATGTATAACTGGTCTGAAATGCCGAGCAATATGGGGTCCTCATTCAATTCCTACAGGTGGGTTCATACGCATAAATATGTAATGATTATCAGTCAAAATAATAATCTTATCTAAACTGTAAACTCTACAAATGAATTTTCTTGTTCAACACAATATCTCCAGCACATAGCACGGTTCTTAATACACAGTACATGCTAATATTAAACTGATTACTAATGAGAAGATATTAGTTTGACATTATTCTCTCATTCCCATGAGTTGCACAGACTGGTAGATCAATCGTTGATATTGTAGAAATGACACCTAAGCTAGTTTAAGAGGAAAAGGCAACCACAGTAGTACTGGCTTCAAAGAGAGCTTCAACAGCCTCCATCTCATTCTCCAGCGTCACAGATGACATAAGGGGTGAACTAATACAGACCCTTCTGCTAAGAAAGTTTACTTACACATTCCAAGAGTTTGCCATACTATTATAATAATGGAACTGCTTCATTTTCATATTTAAGATTTTTACTTAAAATTCTGTAAAAATATAAGATTATAATTGAAAATATAACTTAACTACATTGAAAATGCATGGCGCAAAGATTGGGAATGATAACCTTCATGAGAATGGAGACATCTTAACTGACCAATAGGTCCTGGCAAGTATTACTTCGAAACAAGATACATTTAAAAAAAAAAAAAAATTTATGAATCTACACAGTAAAAAGGAAAAGAAAATTGAAAGCAGTAGCTTTCAACAAAGGCACTCTCACTCCTACAACCCAAACAGGACATGCTAATCAGAGAAATAAAGTATGATTGTGGAGTGGAGCAAGAAGTGGAAATAGGGTCCCCAACTACGGATATGTATAGAATAAAGCAAATGCAGATGGTTCCACTCCTGCCACTTAATCAAAAGGCTGTGCAGAGTCACTGGAGCTGGCATAAAGTCATGTGTTAGAACAACAGCTGATCTGTATTAGAGAAGATTAACTCACAATGCCATGGTGGAGGGCCCAGGATTATTTTATGTACTTCCATTGCCTTACAAGCCGTCAGCACAATTATTGCCCTCCAATGTGAATGACTGATCTGTAACCACAGCTAAACAGCATGCTGCTTAGGGGCCTAGGAGCTTCATGAAGATGAATTTCCATACCATCAAAGTGCTTTTAATGGGCTCCCTGATCCAACCACAAGGCCTGTTTTGCAAGTATATAGAACTCAGGATGAAGGCTTCCTGTCCAAAAGGATTTGGTCGGTTGTCACTTGACAATTCCCAGCCAGCACAGGGGAGGAGAGGGGGGAGATAGGTAGAGTTGTCTCTGCTTTGGAGGATTGAAAAAAAAAAAAAAAAAAAAGGGTACAGATGCTTGCTGAATGCAACCAACTGCTGTATCCACAGCTGAATTCAATGCGCTTAACAAATAATGGCAATTTAGCTATGCTTGCGAGGAATAGCTGGAGTCACTTTGCATTAGCATCTGGCTGCGTGTTAAACTCATTTCTACGTGGGGAGAAGAGAAAAGGAATTTCTGTTCAAGAATCCTTTCAAGAATGTTTAAATATTTGAATATAAATTCCTTTATGCTTGCTATCATTCCTTCTTAGAGCTGTCACTTTGCTTTTCCCCTTCCCTCCTGGTGCTTAGCTGTGAAAATGGTGTGCCCTTCTCTCTGCACCAATGTCACTTTTCTTATGTTGTAAGACTGCAAGGGATGTATACTGACCTATACTTTGCTCTTCCCTCCAGAGACAGAACAGTATTAAAATCATTTCTCCATCCTTTTTACCCACAATAGGACCAGAGGAAAAGTACAGTTGTGACAGGATCACATGTATGCACACCTCACCTCCACTATGCAGACTGCTAGCTTCTTAGAGATTACAGATCGAATTCCATGTAAAACCTGGGAAACCAGAAAGCTATACAAATTAGCAATCTGTTCATTCTGGAAAATAAGCTTCTATGATGATTAACTTTCAAGTAATTGCTAAGTAGCTGATCTTTCTTTTTTTTTTTTCTTTTATCTACTGTATCTAGTTAACTATAGGATTGTGTAAAGGGAGATTCAGTAACATTTTAAAATTTCAATTCAAAACATATCTAATATTACCAAAAGAAGTACATTCTTCTGAGCATTCTATAATAACAACTTATAATACTTTTTTACAAACAAAATACAAGGATAGCTTAGGAAAAAGTTTGACTTTCTTTTTTTTTTTT